AATTTTATTTAACACCTGAACTACTTTTATTCTGTCATTGAACACAATGATTCTATCAAAATAAATACCAATTATAAAGTATACAACTGTAATTTTTCTAATTCTTACAAAAAATAAATGCCATCTGATTTAATTCGAAGCCGTGAAAAAGACCATAAAGATTACAAATAAAGCTAATAATGTTATAAAAATTCCAAGTAAATAGCATCGTCAAGATAAACAGATTCAATTAAAGGGAGCACGTTATACAGTAATGATAAAAGCCACTTATGTAATAAGGGATTACATACATAGACGTCGCTCGCAGAACGTTACAAGTGACGCCGACCTTACTGTACTAGTTCGATGGCTACTTAGCATTAAATCCATCCTAAAGTATTATTACTACATCCAACATAGATATTTGGTTCAAATTTTATGATATTTGTCTAGTGAACATTTTAATTCCATAAAGCCGATATGATTTCCTACGTAAGTTACTTTATGATCTCGCCCACGTGCTCTCAGTCATAATTCATCTCTCGATTGCTTCTCTGGAGACAGGAATAGGGAATATTTCGATATAATATCGACAAAAAAACGTGACCGCAATCATATTGAAAGGAATTGCACTTAAAAGGATCAAAATCATTTATGATTTTTGATTCACAATTCAACAGTTGGAAATCTTTTACAAAATACGTATACAAAGCTCTTGTAAAGAAATTAAAAGCATATTGTTTATTTATAAAGACAATTTAAAATAACATATAAAATATTATTAGTTACCTTTCATATTAATTTCGTCCGCGTCTCTTGTTAATTCAATTATAAAACTCTTTGTACCAATTTAGCCTCGTGGCCTCTGAACAAATCTAATATTATACCGGTATAAATTGTACTAGGAAGTGAACCTTAAACGATACTATTTTTATATAAACAGCACACTTTACAATCCATAAAAGAAAAAAGATTGATAATAATAGAATATAAAGCAAATACATTTTTTTTCCTTATTTTGACTATGAAGTTCTTTCAATTCTATTACATATATCAGATTTTAAACTATTCACACTAAAAGTACATATATTTATTTTTCATACTTCACCGAAATTATCGTTTATAAAAATTCTCATCCAAATAACTTTTGATGTTTGTTTGGTATGCAACATAGTAACAAAAAAATTTGTATCGCCTGTATGTAATTTAAGTAAATAATTTGGCTGAATTTAAATAATAAGTTATGTCAGATAGGACGTTAAATAAATATTTGCTTTAAAGTTATTTTCTCTATACATTTATCAAATTATAGACCGACCTCTTCGTACTATATATTTTCTATATAAAATATATCGCATTTGTTCGGCAGTAGTTTGAATCAAGTATCGGTCGTATACGGGTTACTTTTCGCCAACCATAAATCACAAACGCAGTATATCATAAGATCTCAAGCTGCGCTATAAATCTGACCGCTAGCACTGATCCCGATCTCGACGGTAGACAACGTCGCTCTCAGTTTAGGGTCTATAAAACTGTTAATGAAGAAGAATGTGTTGAAAATGTTGCAAAAATCTTATTTCCATGTTAATATATGATGGATTTTTGATGGGTTTTGGATACTTTTATCAAATGTTGTATAAAGAACAATGGATTTATAAAAAATATATATATTATAGTTAAAATGAATATAGGAATTTAAATAATACAAGTTTCATGCCCGTGACGAGTGTCTCGTAGGTACTTGAATGTTATAAGAAAATAGTATGTAAGAACAAGAAAATAAAAAGAAAGGACAACACTTATGGGAATATTGTAACTAGAAGCTGATAAGTGAACCGAAACATATTATAACTCTATTGAAATTTACTTCCTACCTATACAACACTGTTTAAAATTATGCATTGATATAAGACCTAACTTTTATAAGAAGTATTAGAACAGATATTTTGAAGAAAAATATCAAATTTCCGCAAATCTTTCTTGATTTATTTAGTCGAGTTTATTGAAATGCTTCAAATATACTATCTTCAGTGGAGCGTGTCTCTATAACTCAGTAAACAACTGTCCGAAAATCAAAGCATATTCACTTTAACGACTCATTACCTCCACTTATTACACACATTAGTTTCATAACATGATTTATATATCGTGACATCAATATGTAGTATGTAGTATGTCAAGGATACTATATGTTAGAACAAAAATAAATATGAAAAGATTCACTGACGAACTGCTGTTTGATACTAGTGAATATTTTAATTATTATTAGGATCGTTGCAACTGATATAAAATAGATGTAATGATGTAACTGAAGTTCTTTATATTAAAACTTACGTACATTAAAAATATATTTAACAAAAACCAAACATTGACCTCAATACTTTTGTTTTAATCATCGATCTATTTTCGAGACAATAAACATCTGCAACACTTCAACGTTTTTTTTCACAATAATATACCAATGTATGTATCGAAAACTGAAACAATATATTTAAGCAAGCTATGTATGTGTATATTTGTACCTCGTTGTTAATATTTTCCGCTATGTATGTTAAATTATCTTAATATTCCTGACAGATAAAGCTCTACAACAGTCGAGTGAACGGGTATCTTAGGCTTAATAAGAAGGTTCCCTTCCGTCCCTTTGGGTACGGAATCCTAAGAGGTTTAAATTTAGCGTTAATTTGGTCTGGACCGTGACTATATATGTATGTATTAAGGTAATATATGAAAATACTTTATAAATGTGATTATAATTGGATTGATGGCACATATTAAATTATTTATTTTTGATTGTATGTAATGAGAACATTTTTAATACATTCTCACTTCTAAGAAAAAGTTAGTTAATATAAAATTTTATGTCGTTTGCTATATAAGCTATTTTAAAAGCAGCCACAGCTTTATTTTCAGTAATATTTCGTTGCACTCCCAGTCTTGTCGGCCCATCCGTGCGTGAGTGACGACAACGTGCTTTAATCTACATACCATGTTTTATTACTATGTTACAGTATATTATAGATATTAAATAAATATTATTGATTGAGATGTTTTGATTTTAAAAATAAACAATAAGAAAATTTCGCCAAATCTCTTAAATTTTATTTAAAATATAAATAATATTGTACGTTAAGCATAAAGAAACAATAGTGTAATTTGTAATAGGAATTTTAGACATTTAAGATGTTTATAGAATCAGTCGTAATTTACATTTATTGTTTATTCTGTAAAAATATGTAAGTAATTTAATATTTTATTGATACATGAAAAACAACCATCGCTAATATAACAAGTGTATAGAATAGTCATAGTTATATAAGTTCCACACACCGCTATTCCAATATTCAAAACCAATTTTTAGGTATGCGGCTTTTGAATTTTCATTCAATATATTTTACCAGTCAGTCGGTTGATGAAAGAAAAGTATTAAGCTTTCCTTTGTCGAATTCCCTTTTACGGAAACATGTCAGATAAAAGAAACAATACATCAAATGTCGTTTTGTCTTAGATACATTTTATTATCGCTCGAGAAGAGAATCCGATGTAATTCACGGGCAAGTTATGTATACGGTGGTGTTATTTACGAACTGCTTAGCTTTAATTATATTATGATATATTTTATTCTAATTATACTATTAAATAATTCACATAATATAACAATAAGCCGAACTAATACTTCATTTAATAATTAAAGTACAATTTAGTTGTTATTGTAATCAAATTAAAAATATGTAAGTATAATGTGAGGACAGGAATTCATAAATAGCTGTATTCGACGTCGCAAATATCTTTTAATATTAATATAATGAACAAACAAAAACCACACGACACTCTTCTGGACCATACATAATTAAGTTGTTTACTGTTCTTATGTTCTTAATTAGTAGCTCTTCTTGTACCTGTTTACGCCGAGAGATAGACCTTTGTTACAAAAAAATCGAGTCTAATAATTACTTATTGTTATTATTTGATTAGTTTCTTAATGCCATATATCGTATTTAAATATATTATTCATTTTGTTGCGCTCCTATTGCAATCATAAAGAATTAATTGCCATTTGTATTTTTATAAATAAAAGCTAATAAAACAACAGTGAAGAATAAGAGTATAAAATGAGAATATAAATAAAATCCTATTGTCGACTAGACTGGAAGTGAGCTTAGTGATGATAGAGCTTGCGAAAGAAGTTCACCATGAAAGGAATTAAAGTAAAGTTTGAATTTTATTTTAGATTATTTGAAATTTTTCTTTGTCAATAAACTGAAAACTATTATATATATAGATTCATAGTTAAATTTGGTATAATTATTTTTGTGAGTGATTGGATAAAATAAATAATAGAATCACATAAGTTTAGAATGCATCTCCTTGACCCAGAAATAACAAGTCCGAAATCCAAGCTTGAGTCCGGAAACAAAGTCGTAAACCAAATAATGTAGAACGGACGTCCCTCTTCCTTAATTTATTCTCTTTTTTCAATTCACATAACTTCTCGGCTCGGACTATTCAACTCAATGCGCCTCTTCAAAACAATATTGAAAGCCGAAGCAATTTTTAGGGATTACGGGCTCTAATGCTTATCGAATTTGTGATTTATCATCTACGTACTAAGATTACTTTTTAAGGTTCACTCATTGACACAAAAAGAACTGTTGCTATCCCAAATATAAGCTAAATCAGAATAATGATCAACTCGTAAAAGTTTCTTGAAGTACGTCTCCAACGTCATTCGACATTTCAAACTTAAACGGAAACATCGTCTTATAAAAACATTTCCTGTATGCGTATGTGGCAGTTGATAACTACAGAATACTTACACTTCATCTATTGAAGAACAGCCAATTCGTGAACAAGAAACAGAACTTGTCCAAAGTCCTGGGACAGAGATGTCACGTGACACTTCACTCAGAGTTATCAAATACCGAAACTTACATTTATCACAAAGTTAGATATACTCTTAGTTTTATTATAACGTATGCTGCGTGTCTCGTAACAAGTTAAATCCACATCACTTTTTCATTTCACAATTCACTCATATCACAGGTTTTTTGGTTACCGGTACGAATACGTCGAATGGCGCCCACCGTGGGACTCGGATAGGGGCGGCACAGCGGTGCGTACGTCAGGGCAGTCAGCCAGCCACTGCTGCCTGCGCACGCCTGAACCCGGGCAACCTCACCCCTCAACCCCCCACTGCAATTCGGCACACAAAAAAAAAATCACATCAGTACGAAACCTTTCCCTGTCACTGAGCTTCAATGATCACCCCTTAAGTCTTAAGTCTAAGATATTAGTTAACGCCATTGCGCCACTTAATGACGCTGTTAGCTTGAGTTATGCGCGGATCGTGTAGCGGTCCCGGCTCTCTAATTTATAACGTTTTTGAATCAAATGCTTATGTAAATTTGGTTTCTGAGTAGAAGGTAGAGAGAAGGAATTTTTATTCGCATCCCGACACACTTAGACATCAAACGGTTCGAGTTCAAAGCGTTTTTTCACATATTATTTTAAGCTCTCCTCGTTTATGTATCTTTTTTACTAACTTCACAAGCTACCTTGATTATAACATACACATATAAGTTCCATATACATGTATAAGTATATGGGACGATTCTTTTTATCACCGTGTAAACAAAACGAGTCAAGTGAATAAGAATGTGATGTCACTGTAGTTTGTTTATTCTATTTACGCTTTTGTATTCATAAAAACTGGTGGAAACTTTTTTTACTGATATGTCCACATAAATGTTATATTTATGAATCGCTCACTTACCAGTCACATGTTAGTATCAAGGAAAAGGCTATTTCATTTCTATAAATTTCAATCAGAAATGATCTTTGTAAACATTTAGGTTTCCTGGATTCACGTGATTTCAATATCGCTTTCCATATTCCATAATGTTACCAATGGTGAACTCTTTCTATGTATGATAATTGAAAAACCAATCACGATAACAAAATTATCTGAGCAAACCTATATGAGAATCATTATTGTTTTATAAAGAAAATATAAAACTTTAATTATTCATTGACAAACAAGGATAAGGACTTTTCATCTCGTGGTTTTTAGCATGTTTGGTATAATTTATTATAAGCAAGTAAGAGATAATAGTTGTGGAATGCCCGCAGCAATAGTTCACTTAACTTAAATGGAAGTGCAAAGTACTTTAGACTTCTTATTGTCATGAATATACTGGCTCGGATAGTTGGACTTAAATAAGGAGAAGACAGTTAGCGACTTAATTAAATAACATTTTATTCACTAAATTGAAGAATTCAAAGTTCAATCTTATTATTGTATAATGTATACTTAATTATGTATAATGCATTATTAATATTAAAATAAAAACAATGCCAAGCTTATGATCTATCTGTTTTCCATTATTATCTATGTAATTAAAACATATATTTATTAAATCATATTTTCCAAATTAATTCACATATCGTTTTCAACTAGCCCTATTATATCAATTGAAGCGCGAGCTATCGTAATATTTTTCCCTAATAATATATAAAATACATTATATTCATATACAAATGAACCACGTTTCGTTTTAAAACACAGTATGTTTAAGTAGATAGTTAACCAAGAGGCAGTCATCCGGTAAAACATAATCTTAATAAAAGGAGAAGTATAGGTTATATAGACTTGTGGTCCGGACTGTGGAATCAATTTACGTATACATTTCTTTTTTATTCTCTTCGTTGATTGATCTGTTGGCCAGAGATCGATGCGTGCCCACGGTACAGCACCCGTATAAATATTGAGTTCCCTACAATCAAAATTACGAATTGTCAATTTTCGGTCTGTTAGCGGAATTAAATATTTTTCTATACATTCTTTGCTTATGATATAACTCCCTAATTGACCGCTTTATCTGATTTGATACAATGATTTTGTTTCCAAAGTGTTATAATTCAAAACATAATTCTGTTCAATTAATTTATTCTTTTGTGAGAAATAATCATGAAATTGTTGAAATGTCGAATTAAAGAAAAAAAGTTTTGAGACAAGTTAACCACTTACAGAAACTAAAATACCGATGTTTAATTACAAACTTAAATGGATTATTGGGTTAACATCTTCAAGGAAATCGAGAGGGTTTGATTCAACTGTGTGATTTGTGTTATTATTCTTGCATAGACCTTATTGTTCCTGTATTATATATAAAGTAAATATGTGGCGTTAACTCTTTCAAAATAAACCACGTTATATGAAGCATCACAAATACATATTTTATGAGTATAACGGTCCCATTTAAATGTATTAGTATGAATGAAAGAGTAAGACATAAGGAACAAATTTTGTAAAAACTTCTGACAATATGTTTGCCCATGTGTCCGTCTATCCGTCAGTTCATCTATTACAAGTCTTTCTTTTAGTAATGCGTTGATATGTCACTCACTAAAGTAAAGATAATAATATGCTATATGCAATACTTAGGCCTTACTATAGGCCTTCCTACCAATATAAATACAATCATGTACAATGCTATATCTTTGTGTGATGAGAGGCTATTTATTTGAATATAATTGTGAATTCTAAACCCGACATACATTAATACATTCGAAGAAAGTTTCAATAAGGTATTCATAACATAAATTTGTTTCCCTGTCACATGCACTCGCTAGATGCAGTTTGTGGAAAGTGTTTATTCATATTGCGAAAATGTGTTGCGATTTATTATTCTACTAGTATATGTGCATTACTTGTTTTTGTTAAAGCAAGTAAATACCTCTGATACACGTTTACCAACAAAAGAGGATAGTCTAAAAGACTGTAAATAATATTTTTAATGGAATAATTATTACTATTAAAACGATATTCTATAATTCTAATATATCAATTATTTCAGTTTTAAGTTACAATACAATTTACATTACTATGAAAGGAGAATAAGTCAAACAGGAAGAATTTTGTACTCATAGAGAAACTAAATCCGGAAAAAATAATAGGCGTATGTTAACTGGAACTAATTTCATAGCACAAGTAAAAGAGAAAATTAGATATATGGAGTTATACAAAAAAATCATGTACCACAAAGTATTTTCACGTATGGGCGCAGTAGTTTTTCAACAAAAAGGTAAGTTTGTTCTTGGGACAGTTTATCTTTTTCTTTTGATAAAAGTTCGCTTCCTCAGTTTAGTTACATCAAAAGTTTTCGTCAGACTGACCGTCAATTAAACGATAGCGGGTTAATCTGTTTTAGATCTTACTATCGAGCTTCTTGTTCCAGTTGAAATATTTTGATTAGTTTAGAACGTGAGTTAAATGATAAATAGATTTTATAGGTTTTATTTTTCTAAGAAATTTCTATAAATATGTCTTAGCTATTAGCGTGCTACGGCGTAGCTACCTACTTATCTACATAATATAATAAATGGCTACAGAATGGACTACAAGGCCTCAAAATTTGAAGAATATGGTAAAAAGAAACTTTAAAAAAATAGTTATTAAATTAAAATAAAAGGCATTATTTAAAAAAATATTTAATGTTTTTTATAATATCCCTATATATCATTTCTATACAATATCTACGTATTCCTTTGTTTTTTATAATTTAGAAACTCAATTTTCTGTTTTATGTGATAATAAAGTTTAATCCGCGTTATTTCTATTGTGTTTTTAAATAATAAATAATTATATTTCTTGGTTGCATATTATATTCTCATAACATCATTTCATTCTCAAACCAAAAACCAGACAGCTTAATTGTAATCAATAATAATTTATCTATTTACTTTCCCTTTCGGTGAACTTCGTAAATAATAACACCCGTTTATTTGATCCGACTAAATACTGTGGAAACATCTTGAGACATGTGGACGACACTTGGCAAATTATTTAGATTGATCCCATTTGATACAAAAATATTACTAATGGGTGATCGTCAATATTTCAGTTTACTTTATTCACAATTTAAACTTAAGAACGTATCCTGAAAAATCTTTATTCCTTTTCAGTGGACGGAGAGAGTCTATCAAAGAATTGAAAACTATTCTCTCACTGATTTAAAGTTCCGTCACACTCAAGTCAATTGTAATAATAAAAATTATTTTGATCAGTGCCACCGTATCGTTAAACTTTTCACAGATCTATAAACGTTAACAGCGAGCGAGTCGTTCGTCGGAGTGGAGTCATTCACTTTTATATCATTATCTGTATGCGGATTGAAAGTAAATCGCTCGTTTTATTTTTATTTCATTCACCCCAGCGAGTGAAAAAGCCTCAGCGGTGTAACGTTCCCGCGAAACTGTTAAAAGATGTTTTGGTAAGTCTTTTATGGTGTCTTAATGTTTTTTATATTATTAATAAAAGAGTTATCATGTCTCACAACTTTGAGTATTAATATTCTTCAAATTATCTCATTTTTATGGTACTTTACGTAATTCGGTAATAATTACATTTACCTTAACCCTCAAAGGGCGTAAAGACGACAGAGATAATAACTTAAAGTAGAATAATCCGTTTAAAGGAAACTTAATTACAATTTTAAACATTTACAATCTAAGATCAGTTCAAAAGACACAAGCCAACTTTGATTCTAATCTTTTATATACTTCTATAGTTGTAATAAGTTGTTTTTTAAACATCGTATGAACTAAATGCAGCATGTTTTGAATACGTCCCCAGAACCAGCGGTTGCCGTGGAGAGTTCACCTGCAGCGCTATCACAACTTTAATCACGAATGGTATGCTCACTCCTATTTAGAAGTTAACCGAAGTTAACCGTGCACTAAGTCTGTTTTAACGAATACACGCTTAGGTTGCTCTAAGTTTCAGTTTTGTTCACAAACTGGGGGTCGCGTGTGTACTCACAAGTTGAAACTAAAATAAAGTTCAGAGCTCTTAAAGGTGTCCCATAAATTTAATAAATTGTTGTTGCCAACATCTCGCACCTTTGATGAAGTGGTTTTGATTATCCGTATTAGGTGACGTATACAGAAACGGCGACAGTGTGTCTTTCTAAGAGTAGATGTGTGAATATTGTTAATTAATTATATGAAATAAAATATGCGTTTCATGGATATTTTAAATTGTAATTAATTTTTTTTTCTGGAAGGTCTTTAAAATTAATACCAGAAGGGCAGACCTCACCATCAGATGGGAATAATAAATGCCACGGAGAGAGAGAGAGGTCTTTAAAATTAATATGATATATTAAATTTAAAACTTATTGATTAGATATATGTACTATACTACTACTATATTACGACGATCTCAATTTAAAAAAGTCGAAAACTTCCCTCCGAAATCACTAATATGGAAATTGATATGAAAATACACAGATAGGTATAATGCT